CACATACTTACACATAGACACGCACGCACGCACGCACGGACGCACACACACAAACACACACACACACACACGCACACACACACGCGCGCACACACAAACCCGCACACGCACACACACACACACACTCACTCACACACACACACACACACACACACACACACACACGCGCGCACCGCACACGCACACGCACACACACACACTCAAACACACACACAGACACACACACACGCACACACACACACACCCACGCACGCACACACGCACACACACACACACGCACACACACACACACACGCACACACACACACACACGCGCACACTGTGGACAAAAAGCGCACATCGGGAGTGGCTGCTGGCGGCCGCCGGCACGTACTCCCCGAGCCTTACTGGGTGGGCCTTTCCATTCTCGGACTTCGACGCCCGGGTGTCGCGTTCCCAATGCGGGTTGTTGTTGGGTTGGTCCGGGGGGCTAGAAGCGGGCACGTGGAGGCCCGGCAAGCTTAGATGGAGCAGCCGCCGCGTTTTTTGTTTTTCGCCCCCGCGACGCTTTTGGAGGTCTGGATCTTGGGCCGCAGATCAATCCCCGAACCTCTCCTTGAGCGCGGTCGGTCTTCTGACCAGGATGTCGATGCGAACTCAGCCGTGGCCGCGGGCATCGCCGAAAGCCACGGATACTTGAAGGAGGAGCAGGAGAAGGAGGATAGGTAGGAGGCGGAAGTCTCCAGAGGCCGCCCGGAGCGGCTGAAATCGCCCACAGTGGTTCTCAGGCTTTTTGAACCAGGATACTGTTAAGCAGGAGTTTGATGATTCACCCTGGAGAGGACGGAGAATGGAGAATGTGTCAACTCACGGCTGCATTTTTCTCGGGCGCGCCAGAAGTTTTGATTCGGCATTAAGGTCCGTAGAGGCTGCCTGGAGCGGCCGAAAACAGCTCCAAGGAAGAGCAGGTCGATTAGGAGGAGGAGGAGGAGGAAAAAGAAAAAGAATAGGAAGAGGAGGAGCAGAGCAGGAGCAGGAGGAGGAGGAGGAGGAGGCCTGTGCAGCCCCTTGTCCACTCGGGGCAGAGTGCCGCGCCGCAGCTGCCACGCCGCGGCGGCACTTGCCTGTCGGAAGGCGGAGGGCGAGGCTCTCGCGGGGGCAGCCCAGGAGAGGGCACGGGCGAGGGAATGGCAGGGGGCAGAGAGATGGAGGGAAGGGGAAGAGGGAGGAGGGATGGAGGGAGAGGGGGTCGAGGGAGGAGTGAGAGGAGGGAGATGGGGGGGAAGCGGAGGGGGTCGAGGATCTCCCTCAGCCGCCTGGCACAGGAGGCGCCGAGGCCGTGGGCGCTGGTGACGCCCGCGGCGCTCGGCCCCGGGGGGTCCCGCGGAAGCGCGGTGCCCGCGGGGACGGCTAGACCGTAGGCCCGCACGGCACTCCGCGGGTCGCACGCGCCCGCGGCTGAGAGCCTCCGACTCGTCGCCGACGCCCAAAATTCAAGGCTCGGGATCTTAGGGAAAGGAAGAGAATGACATAAACACAACAACTCGGAGAGATTTGCGCGGATTTCTCGGATCCGCGCTGTACCCCTCTGGCGGCGCCTCCGGTGCCGCCCCTGGCGGCGCTCCGCGACGCCTGGCCCCTGCCTTAACACGTTCACTACGCTGGGCTCTGGAGCTCTCGACCTCGTGTGGCCTCGGCCCCGTGGGTCGTTTCTCTGGGTTGTGTCGCCCCCATCAGAACGGGCCTCCAGAGGCGGAGGTTGGCGCTTTGGCCACGGGTCGGGTCGTGGGGGGGGCGTTCGTGCCGCTTCCGGCGCCAAGCGGGGGCGCCGCTGGCCCGGCGCTGCCTCGCCCGCCCTCGCTGTGGCGGCGTCCCCGTGGCAGGCGGCGGGGAGGTGGGAGGGCGAGCGCGTGCGAGCGCGCACGCCGAGAGCCCCCCCGGCAAGGTGCGGGAGCCTCCAGGCGTGGGCGGCGCCAAGAGGAGGCGACGCTGAGCCCGCGCCCGCCAGAGTCGGCCGCCGCGGCGCAGGCCGGCGTCGGTCGTCGTCTTCGTCAAGTCTTCGTCGCACTTGTCGCCGTCCTCGCCGCCGTCCTCGCCGTCGCCGTCCTCGTCGGGGTCGTCGCCATAGCCGTCCTCGTCGCCGTTCTCGTCGTTGTCGCCATGATATTGCGGCGGACGTCCTGGTCGCCGCTTGCCGTCGCCGTGCTGGTCGCCGTCCTCGTCGCAATGGTAGTCGCCGCCTCACCGTCCACCTCCTTGTCTCCTGGAGGAGAGGCGCGGAGGAGGGGAGGGACACAGTCGGGCAGAGCCAGGATCGGGTTCCAGAGCGGTCCAGAACGCTCTCAGAACTTTCCTGAGCGCTCTGGAGCGACCGCGGCCGCGGCGCCCGATGCGTTCTCCAGAACTGCATGCCAGAGATCCCCGATGTTGTCCTGGTCTTGGCTTCGCCTCAGAGAGGGACAATGCATGAGGCTGGGGAGGATGAGCAGGATGACGAGGAGGAGAGAAGGCAGGACGAGGAGGAGGGATGTGGCAGGAACAGGAAGAGGCACGCTCCTCTTTCCTTCGGGCCGCACCTTCTCTCTCTATATTCCCCGTCTGATTGCAGCTGTACCAGTGCATCCAGTAACATCTCTCCGAGTCTGGCTCCAATCTTCCCGACTCCTGTTCGCATCTGTCCGCCTTAAGTTCCCCTCTTTCCGATTCTGGCTCTGTTCTCTCCGACTCCGGCTCCGGTCTTTCGGACTCCGTCTCCGATTCCGGCTCCCATTTTTCCGTTTCCGACTCCGGCTCACATCTCGCCGATTGCGGCTTCCGATTCCGGCGCCCACCCAGCAAGCGCCAGGACCCGCGCGCTGCAGGACGCAGGCCGTGGTCGGGTCCGTGTCCAGGGCATACATTACCGCCAGTTTGGCTTCTTCTTTTTATTCGGCAATGCCTTCCTCCTTCGTGAACTTCATTGGTGGCCGCAGGACATGTTTGCGTCGATCCTCACAGAGGCCTTGCACAAGGAAAAAGCCAGTCTCAAGGAACATGTCCTCGTCGTGTTGGTATCAGACATTAGACGGCAGGATACACAGATGCAGTATGCAAAGTGTATTGGACTTACCATGGCCTCTGTCGGCCTCAGCTCTGTTCAAGTTGGGAATGCTTCTGACTTCTCCACTGCGCTCACCTGCATGAGCATGCCCTTCAGCTCTGAGTTGATGCATCGGCGTATTGACGGTGACCCTCCTAATTCTACAGACTGTGTTGGACCTGCCAGGGCTTCAGCCGGCCCCGTTGTGTTCACGCTGTGAACTTGTATGGTTTACTCATCGCGCTTATGTGCTCTGATGAGATCGTTGCCAACGCCAGCTCCAAGGACGCCGCTGCCTCCCCGGACTATCAGTGCATCTGCATCGGTATCCTGTTGACGGCCGCGAGCAATACGATTTGGAGCGCAACTCGTGAGACCATCAACGAGAGCATCATCCAGCCTCAGCTATGTTCAAGCTGTGGACTTGTATGGCTTACCCACGGACGCGGCCTCCTCCCTGCCCCTTCTGTTTGTGCTCGTGTGCCGACTCCTGTTTCAGACTCCAGCCCCGTCTCCAGCGCCAATGCGTAGGGATGCGACCCAGTTGGCTATACAGACCTTCTTGATTATGTCGAACTTCGGAAGCGGATCATGAAGCCTTTGAGGCACGACCACTCCATACTCTGAGAACTCCGGCGCAAGGGTTCTACCCTCTCGCTTCCTCTCTGAGTCTTTCCCTCCTGCCCCTCCCGCTCGTCTCTTGCATGATTGGTGTATCGAGTTGTATCTAGTGCATGTCAAAAGCGGCCTCCCCTTACCCTGTACCCTCTTGCCGCTGGCTTGGCTGACCGCCGCCTTTTGGGGCTCAGGCGCGACTGGGGTGCCGCCGTGTCCCCCGTGCACATCTACTGTACGACTACCACCCACCGTGCTTGCCTGTCCACACCGTGCTCTGGCGCGCGGCATGTCTGCCCCTCTGTTTCAACTCGCTTCCACGTGGGCCCTGTCGGCTGTGAGTGTGCTGCCCCTCTCCTTCCTTCGTGGCTCTCCTTTTCTTGCTCCTCCCCCTTGCTGCTGATTCGTTTCGCTGGCTACTTTGTGTCACAACTGCTCTGGTGTTTCGTCTCGCTTGTTGTTGTTTCGTGCCTTAATATATGAATGGTGGTTTGGACCATGGGGGATGCACGCACAACGCCAATGACCAGGCTGCCGCTTCCCCATCCTCCTGCGTTCCTCCTCCTCCTCCTCCTCCTCCTCCGCTGTTTAGGTTCTCGTGTTTCGGAAAGCGAGTGGCCGCTTTGTTGCCTGCTGGCTCTCCCTCCAGACTTGCTCCAGGGCGCTGCGGAGATGTGTGCGCGGCGGTCGGTCGGCGAGGGCGGTGCATTGATGGGGACAATGAGTTTCTCTTCCCTCACTGGCCATCCTCCTCTTCCTCGTCATCTTCTCTGTATATCGAAGATGCCTCGGCGAACCGCCGCCGCCCCCTGCCGTCTGGAAACGAAACAACTACGTGGTCAAACGTGGGGCCGAAGTTTTCCCCAGACATATTGGACGATGTGCTCCCTCGAGCCGGTGAGGAGACACTTCGGGAAACAGCTGTCTAAGAGGCCTCTTGGCCTTCGAAGGCCGTCTTGGGGGCCTCACTGGGCCGTCTTCGGGCCCTCTTGGGATGGCTTTTGACCGTCGTCAGGTTTCTGGGGCCGTCTTTGGTGCTTAGTGAGGGGGCTCTTCGGCCGTATCTGGGCTTTCGCGGAAGCCTCTGGGGCCGTCTTGAGTCGTCGGAAGCCCGAAAAGACGAGAGAGCAAGATTGTTCGATTTCAATGATGTTGGCCGCTTCAGGCCCCCCTGGAGAGCCTTGGCTTGGAGCCTTCTTGGATCGCCTTGGGGGCATCTTAAGATGAGCTGAGGCAGCTGAGCCGGCTTGGGGCTGTCCTGGAGGCATCTTGGCGTGGGCTCTCTTGGGGCTGTCTTGACGAGCGACCTCCAGCTTGCTGCCCTCGAGGCGCAGAAGGTCTGGGCCTCCGCGCGCCGATGGACGGCGACGGCGCAACAGCCGAAGGCTGCCGAGGGCCGCCAGGAGGCAGCAACTGAACTCGGCCAGGCTGAACTCGGCCAGCTGACCTCGGCCAGGCTGACCTCGGCCGAGCTGGCTTTGGCCCGGGCCTAGTTTCGGCAATTGCCGAGCTCAGCTGGCCGAGCGCAGCCTGGAGGAGCTCCTCCTGGCCGAGTTTCTCCCTCCTCCGGGAGCCCCCAGCCCGCGCCCGCGCGGGCGCCGCTGTGCCAGGCGGGCGGCGGCCTCGAGCGGTGCGGCGCGATTCGGGGCTCCGGCCCGTGGCGGGCGGCGCGCCAGCGCCACGGCGGGGGCTGGAGCCGACGGGACCAAAATAGTCGGGCTGCGATGCCGGGTGCTTCGGGTACTGCGGCGCGACCCCTGGCCCAGACCCTCTCGCGCAGTGAAGAGATTACGGCGGACAGTTGTCGCCGCTTTTCGGCCTCTCGGGACCATCGCCGGGCCTCAGCGACCGTCCAAAACGACTCAGTATGAGAAACTGGTCCCCGGGAAGGGATCCAGACCCCTTGGGGTCTAAATAGTGAAAAATCATGTCATTGGGCGTCTTGGGAGCTGGATTTTCTTTATCCCGACGTAAGCGTCGTGACGCGGCTGGATTTCCTGACTTCCTCCCTACAGATATCCGGCGTCGCGAAAGAGTTGCAGTATCGTGCGAAATCTCTGCCGGAGACTTTGACCCCGTCTTCCCGCCGCGTTTCTCGAGCCAGATCGATCCTCGAGAGATTCGGGGAACGGAAGCGGCTGGAAACGCCAGGTGTGAGAAAGTTGCGACGCCCAGGTCTCAGGTCTTCCATCTTCGGGTTGGGCGCAACCTGCTGCATGCAGCCGGTTTCGGCCCCGCTGCCACACCCGTTTTGCTCGATACACGGGGGTCTCCGGCGCCAGGAGGGGCCAGGAGCCAATTTGCGCCCCCCTCTCTCGTCAGGCGAGATCTCTGCGCTGGCCCCGTCTGGGCGGGCTCTGCGAGGAGAGGCCACGGGGCGCCTGGGGAGCCAGCGTCCAGGTTGTGGCCGCCCGCGCTTGCGGAGGCGGGGGGGACCAAGGCTGCAAGGCGGAAAGGCAAAAGACGCCGACGCCCGGGTGCTGTGGAACACAAGTCGGTTGTCCAAGCGAAGTGGAGGAAGAGCAGGACGGAGAGGAGGAGGAGGACAAGGACGAGGAGGAGGAGGAGGAGGAGCAGCAGCAGGAGGCGGAGGAGGAAGTGGAGGAACACGATGAGGAGTGGTGGAAGCGAAGGAGGAGGAGGAAGTAGGAGGACTCCATGTGGTACCACGGAGATTGATCGCATTTCGTAGAGCGCAACAAATAAGTTGACCCTCACGGATTGCACCAAGCAGTTTGCATGGCATAAGTTGCACCACAGATGCACCACACACGGATTGCACGACCCAGTGTGCACATCGAGATTGAAGGGTTTATATTGGCAGGCAAACACAACATAGAGCAGTCTGAGGGACACGATGGCATCCCATTCTATGTTTCAGGAAATGTCGGTGTGGGAGAAGCAGGTGCAGAGGGGAAGCAGTCTGCAGGTGGGAGCGAGTCATGATGGGGAAAGTGATGACAGAGAGTTCGTCGCCGGAGATGTCGGGGTGGCGCGGGTTTTGCTGCGGTGGCCATTCTGTGGTGCATCCGAGCAGTGCGTGTCATCCTCTCCATGTCCTTCAATTGCGCGTGTTGCTCCTGGCGCGTTGCCCTGCGGTGGCCCACGTGGCACTTCCAGTCTACGCGCGTAGATGTGAAGCGAGGGCCCCAGACATTGCCAGATCCAGCGGGGGCAACCGAAGAATGAAGAATGCTTCGATCCACTGCTGTTGTTTTCTCGGCCCCGCCGAAGTCCTGGCTTATCAAAGTCCCCATTTGCAGGGCCCTTATGAGGATGGGATGTCGCATTGTGGTGTG